CCCAGAGTCTCCGAGAGAGAGAGAGAGAGAGAGAGAGAGAGAGAGAGAGAGAGAGAGAGAGAGAGAGAGAGATGGGAACCTCGGAAACAGAGACGAGCCCTGGCAACATAGCTCAGTGTCAGGTGCGAAACAGTGAGAGGTGATTTACGGCGATAAAGTGGTTGTTGGGAAAGGCGGAGTTGAGGAGAGGAGGGATCGAACAGTCGGAAGTAGAAGTTGAAAGAGATTCGTGGTGATGTATTTGTGCACACCCTCTCTCTCTCTCTCTCTCTCTCTCTCTCTCTCTCTCTCTCTCTCTCTCTCTCTCTCTGTGTGTGTGTGTGTGTTTGTTTGTGTGTGTGCAGAAACGGTTGACAAAGGAGGAGAAGCCCTCAAAGGCGAGGAGAGGTGCACGATACGTCCGAGGAGAGTGGTCATCAGGCAGAGTTCGAACCACCCCCCAAAAATGGTGGAGTTGGGGTTAGTCACCGTTAGTGTACGTTTCTCCCACTAGTACTTGCAATTAGCGTAAGAGTGGGTAAGACTGCAGTCTGCTGGGAGCATTTCACGTCTGCGCTCAGTGCGCTGCAGTGGGCGTCGTACCATTCATTTGGCATTGAAGAACTGACGGCGTCACCGCAGAGAGACTGAAACTTTCACACTTCAGAAATGCGAGGCTATGATATCATAATAATCATTTCTAATCATTCGTTAACTTGTCACGTATTCTAACCAACGGCTAAGATCATGATCACGTACATTGTACAATGTACTCCACTTGCTCTCAAGACAAGAGGTCCAAGAGGAGATTAAGAAAAGAGGAGCTTGAGGGTTATGCACAAGAAGAACGAAGGTTCCCGAAAAAAAAAAAAAAAAAAAGAGCCGACGAGGACGACTGTTTGCTCACTCTCCATAGCCATCGGAGTTCTGGGCGAACATGAAAGCCACCAAGACCACCTTGGAGATCCATGGGGTTAATTGAAACCTCCTTGGATCTCTTCCCTACGGCTTGATTGCTTGCTTGATTGCTTGCTTGATTGGCTTCCTTGATTGGCTTGCTTGATAGGCTTGCTTGATTGGCTTGCTTGATTGCTTGCTTAAGTGGCTTGCTTGATTGCTTGCTTGATTGCTTGCTTGATTGCTTGCTTAAGTGGCTTGCTTGATTGCTTGATTGCTTGCTTGATTGCTTGCTTGAGTGGCTTGCTTGATTGCTTGCTTGATTGGCTTGCTTGATTGCTTGCTTGATTGCTTGCTTGCTTGATTGCTTGATTGCTTGCTTGTGTGATTGATTGCTTGCTTGATTGCTTAGCTGTCTTTCTCCTCAATTGCTTGCTTAATTGCTTGGTTGCCCCGCACAATCATCAACCAACGTCCATCCCCTTTGCTACCTTATCCCCTTCCCGCCAAGACTCCCTTCGATCGGTCGGTCATGCTCCCTTCGATGGTCGGTGGAAAGTAGTAGGAGCGACCGGTCGGTTGCAGGGAGTAAGACCGTCCGGCCGTTCATCAGTTGATTTTCCCGCCACTTCCTCCGTTATCTCCTTCCCGCCAAGGCTCCCTTCGACCGGTCCGACGCTCCCTTCGACCGGTCAGACGCTCCCTTCGACCGGTCAGTCTTACTCAACTTGCTGGCTTAACCCACTGACGATCGACCGATGAATGAACGACCGACGGGACCAACGACCAACCGACCGACCGACCAACCGACCGAATGAATGAGTGAATGAATTAAAATGCCATGCTTGTCTCACCTCGACGCTCCTCGATGTACAACCGCAGTCAACCGCAGTCAAAGGGAAACAGGGCTAACAGGGTGGTAAATCATCCAAATAGGGGGGGAAATGTGGCCTAAATCAGAGGGGTGCTCAAGTCAGGGGTAGGCTTATAATTATTTTCTGAGCCAAAATCGTTGCTGAAAGAATCGAAATCGATATTGAACCGGAGCGAAGAAGAGAGCGTATATACATATATATATACATCGTGACTCAAACCGATCCCAGCTCGGGCCGTAGGTCCCGCTTGCAAGGCCTATCCCCCCTTCTTTCACCCGAATAGAACGAACGGTCATTATATCCGTATTTAGACTGAAAGTTCCCCCAAATACAGCTATAATGACCGTGCGTTGTATTCGGGGGAAGAAAAGGTACTAGATATTGGCAATTTGCCAGCCATCGATCTCCGTCATCTACGACGAATACCTGTTACTACCCTGCAAGTAGGGCCTTGCACTTGTATCGGGGTAGTTTTCAGTCTAAATACGGATACAACGCACGGTCATTATAGCTGTATTTGGGGTAATTTTCAGTCTAAATAAGGATAAATTGACCGTTCGCTGAGCTCTCCTCTCTGATGATCAATCAATTACCCACTGAAATTAATCGAGATCAAAATCGAAATCGAAATCGAAATCCAAATCCAAATCCAAATCCAAACTCCAATCCAATCTCAAAATCGAAATCGAAATCGAGATCGAGATCGAATGATCGAGATCGAAAAGCCACTGCAAATTTGGGGGCTGCCA